AGTGCCATGTCTGTACCCAGGATCCGAACGGGTGAAATCCTGGGCTACCGAAGCAGAGTGCATGAACTTAACCACTTGGCCGTGGGGCCAGCCCCGGAATTTGTGTTTTATACATACCAAGAAAATGAGACAATCATTTGAATTCACTGCATGTGTTGGAGGAACACAGTCAAGTGAGGATGGTAGAGTAAAAGGAAAAGTCATCAGATAAATCTACACCTCCAACGAGATGTCACTATCATGACAGAAAAAGGCCAGGCAGAGACTATGGAGAAAGAGGCAGAAAGGATCTCAGAGACCAGTCACTCCTAACTCTGTTTACATAGGACAGAACTGAACCCGGGTCACCTCACAAGTTACTAGTTTCTGGAAGACCAGAGACTAAAGGATTATTTGAAATGGAAACCTGGAGAGTACAAAAGAGTGGGATAGTTACTTCCTCTGTTTGTCCCAACAGGACTGCACTCCCACACTGGACGGTTTGGACTCCAACCAGAAAGACCTAAGACTCCAAGTTGGTCTGGAAATTGAGTAGGACAGAATTATGCAGCCCTTGGGAATACAAAGAAGGTCAGATTTATCCTTATGCTCAAGAAAGCCTACGATAATTCTTAACAGGAATCTAAGAGCTACAAAAAAAAGCAGCTGACAACCCAGCTGGGTGAGGCTGGAGCCAGAATGGACTCAGGGCTTGGGGCTGTCAATGAGGTGTTAGAAGTTCTATTTCCACCTGTGTCTTAGTAATGGGACTGCTTTGGATTAATGCATTAATGACCACAACACAACTGAGAGGGAAGACCCTTGCAGGGTCCATCACTCATCCTGGGCGTAAGGCACCTGGCCTTATCCTGCTGCTCCAATACAGAAGGCTCTAGTGGCTAGGCTGGTTGTTGAAAACTTGGACTGGGCCCTGAACCCATCACCAAAATAGCTCTTGCAAAAGGGAAAAATCAACAGTGCGGTGCAGCGGTCTCAGAAAAGAAAAATGTTCCCAATCCCAATAATACGGAGCTCGCTTCAGAGCTGTTAAATCCCTTTAAGTGTATTTTTCAGCCTATTCTACTTTTTTGACAGTCCTGTTTTATAGGAGGATTCTTAGGTTTATTAATCAACAATCATGGATCAGCAGGACCTCCTGTTGGATCTATGGCAGAGTAATAGGAAAATGGAGTCAGTTCCAACCCGCATTAAACCTCACTGGGAAGCAACTGTTTCATCTACAGAAGGAATAACTGACAGATGATGAAGACCCTCCTAGCTCTAAAACTTGGCCTCTATGCCACAATCCATCAGACTTCCATTCACCGAGAGACTGCTCAAGGCCCGCCCCATTGGGGCCAGGATCAACACGCACACAACACACAGATCCTGCTGTTGAGGACCTCACCATCCCACGGCTTAACCACGGATTGAGATAAACTTTCTCCTTCTCATATAAGATATTAAGGCACTAGGCTGAAGGCACTTGGGAAGAATTTATTAAAATAACTAAAATATAAGCTATTAGAGAAGTCCTTCTGTTTTAAATATAAAGGACTGCTTCTGTGTTTGCCATCCAAGAGAAACTGGAGCACTAGTTGGTTATTTTGAAGTGGCCGTGTTCTTCTCCTTTAAGAAGACATACATATTGTACTTGAAGCAATTCTACCAGACCCCCAAATAGATATTTTATCACTTAGTGTAAAAAAACACAAATATGACAACTAGCAATCTTGGGCTATCGGGAAAAAACATCCAGTCAACAAATGCCATCAACATTGTCTCTTGTCAGAGGAAAAGACAAGGGAGTGAACGCATCCCAACCTTGTTTTCACGTTTATCCTAAACTTTGGTAATCTGCACCAGTGAGGTGGTTTGGAAGAGATGTGAAGTTAGAAGTATGGACACAGTACCTAGATTCCAACTCCTCTGCTTCCCATGACAGAAATGTACCTCCTACTGAAAGTAGGGATTGTATTTTTAACCCTATGCCTGCAACAAAGGCTGGCCCATCCATTATCTCTGAAGTAGAGACACTTTGATTGTTTCCATGATGGTGGGGAAGGGTTTGCCTAAATCATGCAGCCGCCCTTGCCCTGGTTCCCCTTGGGACAGAGCAAAATGGGCTGGCCTTCGTCAGCCCTGCAGCTGCAACCTTCATGTGAGCCCAGAAGACTTAGCTGGGTATAGACAATTTCAATATTTCCAGCTGCAAGACAAAGGAAATGACTCAGCCGCATCCAGTGTCAGAGAAACAGGAGAAAGAAATGGCCAACTCAAACAGCACAAACGCACGTTTCTCACAGTGACAGGCCCAGTTTCTCTTACAGTGCTCTGGGCTTATTCTTGTTGTTGCAGTTACTGTTTGTTCTTTGCTCTTTCAGTTTGATGTACAATTGTATAAAGAACCTTTAAACTAGAGATCTCTGTCAAACCATACTGGCGAATACAATAAATAGCCCACATTTGTGTTGTAGCAAAAACTGACGACAAAAAATTCATTTGCAATCTGTAGGACTATAAGGAACTTACGTCCATGCTTTGAGTTTACGAAAGGACTTCTGGCATGGCTGGATTAAACCTCTGGAGATCCTATGAAAGGAAGAGATCAACTCCCTAATACGTATCTAAAAATAAGATTTTATGTACGTCAAATTAAAACTGCTGATGTCTAGATTTTTTTCAATGGCAAAATTCTAGATAAATTCATCAGAGCAGAACTCCTCTCGTTTTTAGTGCCTCTGCTTTCTTATACATGGACTTTAACTTCTTACTGGACAACACAGCTGAGGTTGGGTGGTCAAGATGGCTCCCTCACTACCAAGCATGAGACTAAAATTCATACCTTTGTGAAATTGCAACAGACTGTGTCATGGGCTTTTAATAAAATTCTCCAAAGGAAGGAAATTCATGGGCTTTATAATAACTTAAAGGCCTTTGGTTATTGTGGTTATTCAGGTATGACAGCTTTATTCTAAAACACTGACGCCTGATCAGCTGGGGTATAACTTTATTTCAGTGGCGCTCCTTTTACATTGTTTTGGTATTGAGTAATACCAAAAAGGATTTATAGTCAAAGGGTCTGCATCTGTTAAAATACGTTGTGTCCTATTCCCTGCTTGGACAAAAAATGGATCTAATTTCAAGGCCATGGGTCAATAGACTCCTGGATCCTTCAACCACTGTGAAGCCACAGGGATGCTGGCCAAAAACCTCATGCAGAACAATTGAGAAGGTTCGCTTTTTCATGTGTGAAATGCTTTGTTACTCAAGGTACTATCTGCTACCATCTTGTTTAATGTTGCTGAACCCAACCCAGGCTCTGGCCCAGGGCTTAATGTTTAACAATCACAGGTCCGAAGATAGATTATCAATAAATTAGAAGGCAACTCAATGAAGTTGCCCCAAGTACCTAAAGGGGAGGAGACACAGAAGCAATATCTAGCAACGGAGATGACTTGGAAACTAGACATTCTTTTTACTTGACTGACTTACTAATTACTTAACACTTAGTGACTAATTATCAGAAACCTCCTTCTGACTGGCTCCTTACAACCAGCCTACAGGATTGTCACTTACTGGCACAGGACAATCAGACAGAGCAAACTATCTGCTTCTGAAAGCGGGTCTTGTCTCATAAGAGGTTTCATCTTATGATACAGCTTAAAAAATTCTTCACCTTACAGCAAAGTTTCATGTTCATCTTTAAATACACTCATTTAAAAAGTGCTCATTTTGTGCCTACTAAGTGCCATGAGCCGACCCAGCCACTAGGGACACACCAGTGAGGAGGAAAAACAAGGCTCCCAGCCCCACGGACCTGCCACTCTGGTTCAGATGACACTCACACAATGTGAGTCAACTGCACTGGAGACATCTCATCAGAGAGCGCCTTTCTTTCCTAGCTCGTCTTACATAAAGAGGCCATTTGGGAAGAAAATTAAAACCATTTCTGTTACCGTGAAAACCTTTTGGAATTTCAATGTCCTAAAACACGTGCTAAAGCAGGTCTTCCAAAAGACTTCCTTGTCTAACAGCAAATGAACCTATTTCTAAGCAAATGACAAGGATGACTGTTTCTTTTTTTTTTTTTTAAGATTTCATTTTTTTCCTTTTTCTCCCCAAAGCCCCCCGGTACATAGTTGTATATTCTTAATTGTGGGTCCTTCTAGTTGTGGCTTGTGGGACGCCGCCTCAGCGTGGCTTGATGAGTGGTGCCATGTCCGCGCCCAGGAGTCAAACCGACGAAACACTGGGAGCCTGCAGCAGAGCACGTGGACTTAACCACTCAACCACGGGGCTGGCCCCAGGATGACTGTTTCTAAGCACGACCAGAAATGAGGAGACCTGCTCTAATCCATGTGGGTTTCCACATAATAGATTCATCCTATTTCAAAACCTGCATAAAAGTTCTGCACTATTGTATAAAAATGCATTGGTTGACATGACCTAAAGGAGCAAATTATCAAAGTCTTAAAAGTAACATGATTTATTAACAAATGGTCTGTTCAAGCAGAAAAGAAAAGAAATGATCTCTTCTAGCTCTGTATGGCAAATTATTTTACACACTGTCTCCTAAATGTTCCAGTTGTGCTAAGCAACATCTGTCATACTTAGTGAAACTGCCACCTTAAATTATTGTGATGTTTAGTTAAAAGGACCTAATTATTCTTCAAAACTGTCATTTTTTTGAGGACATGAATAATTCTAAGCCGTTTCTTAACTTGTAAAATGATTTCAACTTTCTAAACGAGGAAAATTATTAAAAGGCTTATTGTCATTTCCTACCTGATCCTACAGCCACAGACTGTATCTTTATTCACCACAGAGAAACATCAGCATCTGTCACCATAAATAAATCTCTTCAGTTGCAAATTTGATTCCATAGTCAAAGAAAAAAATAAACTTATTTAAAATATTTATTCTCTCACTGGGATGTTTTCTTTTCTTCCTTTATGCCTTCTAAGAGGATAGTTATTTAAAAATGAGAGTTTTGTGCTCCGGAACACCAAACTTCCCTTTATGCTCCTCAAATAATTTCCTTAGCTCCTCCATATAGGTCTTATGCAACTCCTCAATCTGCTCTGGAGTCGGGTGCAGAGTCTGCTGAACAGGAATTGGGCGGCCAACTGCAAAAACAGAGAACACATCATGCATAAGGAACCAAAACCACTCCACCGCCGACTCCTGCCTCGAATGGCCAGCCCTGGAAAGATATGCCAATCAGAAGCCGTCAGGCCGGCTGGCTCCAATCCCTTTTTCATTTTACTGGCTGCCTCCAGTGGTCACACCATCCCCTTTGATAACAAATAAAGAACTTTCCTTCTCAGCAGATGCTGGATTGTCAGGACCCTGGTGGTTTTGACTCTGAGTCAAGTGAACCTCTGTGCTGGCTGCGGCTGTGAGGGAAGAGGACATGGCTTTGTGTGCACGTCACCAGCATTCTCCCTCCCGGACAGCTGACAGCCGGTCCACAGTGCCCTATTGTGACTGCCTGGGAAACCTTCAATCATAAGCTATCAATCCTCTGTTGTTTTTAATGTCATCCTAAACAATTTAAAAAAGATATACCTTTACAGCTAAGAGTCTATACTAGAAAACACATGTAATTACAAATATTCCACTGTCTGTAACAGTGGAAAAGCCTCCAATGAAAAGTCCAAATAGAAAAATTATTAAATAAATCACAGAACATTCATTCAATGGAATCCTAGGCAATTTTTTTAAAAAATGAAATAATATTTTTGTAACTATGTGGTGAGGAATGTTAACTAGACTGGTTGTGGGGATCATTTCACAATATATATGAATATCAAATCGTTATGTTGTACACCTGAAACTGATATAAAGTGATACGTCAATTATACCTCAAAAAAATGAATGTATTTGTGTACACACACACAGACACAGCTATCTAAAAAGTATTAAGTGGGAAAAAAGTTGTAAAATAATACACTATGACCCCATTAATGAAAAAGTATTTACATTTCTAGGTGTATTATAAGCTTTTAGTGTATTACACGTCTGGAAAGACAGACTGATAACCGGTACCTAGCGGGCGGGAGGCAAAGGGCAGGGAACTTTCGCTTTATCTGTATTGTATGCATTTTCTACAATGAGAACGTATTTGAGTTTTACCTGTATAATAAAAAATGAACTAATTAATTTTTTAAAGCCTGGTAACTTATATACATATTTTAAAGAGCGTTTACATCACCAATATTTTACACAATACAGATACACGTGGCTTCGGGGTCCGCTCTCCTGGAGCCTCCGTTATTCACTGCGCCCTCTGTTGGTCCCATGCTGCTACTGATGCCAAGGGCTGAAAATGGACAGGATGTTCAAGGATCCCCTGGGCAGCAAACTGCTTCTGTGTATCACCTTTGATTAGCTTGGGCACGAGGCCAAGCCGGGCCGTAGGTAACAGACTGGAAGTCGGACGGGAGGAGATTCCCTCTGGCCTACCCTAGGTCGCGTCATTCTACATCCACGGCTAGAATGCATGTCAGTAACAAGGTGGTTAGTTAAGAGAAAACCAAGTAAATGTCGTCACAGAGAAAGAAGGAAGGGATAAATGATATCAGTATGGGAGGAGCGGGGGCACAGAGAAGGGAATTGATACACACACATGCACATACAATATAATGTATTATATAATAAGGAGATATATATATATATATATATATAATGTATCTTCAAATGCACACACACATATCCTTACTGCAATATTAATAGTCACAAATTTCTAAGTTTTTAACCAGATATAGCCTCAAGAAGCTCATGTACAGTTTTCTTTGATAGCCTGGATGTCACACTTACATACAGGCATACCTCATTTCACTGTTTGCTTTCTTACGTTTCACAGATACTGCGTTTTTTTACAACACCCTCCACCAGCAAAAAGATTACGACTCACCGAAGGTTCAGATGACAGTTAGCAAGGAAGTATGTTTTACTTAAGGTACGTGCATTATCTTTTTAGACATAATGCTATGGCACATGTAATAGACTACGGTAGAGCGTAAACATAATTTTTATATGCACTGGGAAACCCCAAAATTTGTGTGACTCGCTTTATTGCAATATTCGCTTTATTGCGGTGGTCTGGAACAGAACTTGCAATACCTCCGAGGTACGCCTGCATAGGAGATGTCAGTCCTTTATAATTCAACATAAAGAACTGGACACATAAACATCTCGCTGTCAGTCATGCTTGAAATATGGATTGGGAGAGGCTAACGTGGTGACGGGGCGGAAGTGGAGCTGGTGTAGCACAAACAGCCCCAGGCTAGACCAGATCTGGTGCTAGCTCACCAGCAAGTACACTGAGCTAGTGAGGAACTTCCTGCCTGGCCTTAATTTTCACATGTGTAGGATAAAAGAGTGAAATGATGATCTTGAAGGTTCCTTTCAGCTCTGAATTTTATTGTTTGAGGAAAAAACTGAGAAATCTCCATGCATCTTGAGAATCTTCATTCCAAACTACGAGCAAATTCATGGTTTGATAGAAATAGCTTCTGTTTCTTACTGAAATTATCCCAAGGAGAGAGGTCAAGTGCAACTATTGGGGTGGGAGCGGGGACTTATAAAGAGACACAGTGATCTAAGATTAAATGTGCTGTTCCCAGCTGACTTTAACGAGGACCGGTGAATTCTGAATTATTGAGTCTTATTTCTTATGAGCTATCCTACAGTTAATTTCAATCCTGTTCTTTTCTTGCTAAACAGTTTTTACCATATTTCAGAGAGTTCTTCCAGAGAGCTCAAACATAGCCATATATATTGAATTTATCATCATAAGACTTTTCCCCTTAAAGTGTGAGACAGACGTAATCACCCTTGCCTTTCTTATTTACGTGCAGAGAACTGACCTGCTGAAAGTTCCTAAGTTACACAGAAAAACAGAGGAAATTAAGATTTACACCCAAAACTCCTGCCCCTCCTTACTAAACTAACCCCAAATGGGATTAGAGAGTAAGAAGATTTTCTCAATTGCTTTTTAGGGATAAAGACGGAGATAACAAAACAAAACTTGGCAAATCTGAGGAGAGTCCCTTGTGCCCTAGAAGACCAGAATTCATTCTCGCCACAAAAAGGAGATTTTTACCACTAAGGAGGAGAAAACGATGTTTTCAACATAAGACTAAGTCGCAAACTGCTGGATAACTCTCTCTTTACAACACAAAAGAAAAAACAGCTGCATCAGGCTGCTCTTGGAAATAGAACTCCTTGTCCTCGAAAAATCAGCCCACATCTATTGTGGCAAAGTTAGGAATCACAGCTATTGTGTATGTTTCAGTGCTTTTTATAGCTGGCACGCTCATTTGTTGCATTTTCCAATTCCATCCAAAATTGAAGATTAGTTATGCATTTGCTGTCTCACCCAGCAGTCTTGCTCTGATTTCTATGATGCTGTGTTGTATTTCCCTAAGTTGAAGAAGGAGCAGCTTCATGAGCCACTGCACCTACAGCTGGGGAAGAGTTTGGAAATGGGCATTATTTTCTTCTCCTTGAGGCAAAGAGTAGATCTTTCACAGTAAGAAATCTTTGTTCTATTTTTCTGGAATTGTGAAAATTCCACAGTTGTTTCTCTCTTTAATGGTCTCACGCAGGAACTACTCTTTCTTTAGATGCTATGTAGCTGTACACTAGAGAAAGAACAGGCAGGGGGCTGTGTGGCAGAGTAGGGTTGTGAAGAGGCAAAACGTGGGTGCCCGATGAAACCTGGGTTCAAGTGCAACCTCTGGCTTATGGTGGAGGCTCAAAAGATGGCCAAGGTAAGTGTGTGTCTAAGTATGTATATGTATGCATACGCACACACACATACTCATGAACGCTTACTGAGCATGTAATACGTCATACTGGGCACCATTCTAACCTTTTTAATATTATTATCTCTTTTAATCCTTACTTTACAATTAGAACTTAATTTATGTTCCCTTGCCTTCCTTTCTATTTCAGAGAATCCCTTAGCCTGCTTTTTCCCATCAGGATAGAATAATAACTTGAAATATAATGGACTACTTTTGTCCTCAAGTGCATTCAATGAGATTTTATTTAAATAAAGTACATTCCCTTCCCTTTCTTTTGTTATTAAAAAAAAATTCAAACCTACAGGAAAAATAATGCAATAAGCACTTGCATACCCTTCCTCTAGACTCACCAATTTTTAACATTTTGCACACACATACAACATGAACAGCCACGTGCCACATAACATTTTGGTCAAAGACGTACCACGTATACAAGGGTGGTCCCATAAGATCAGCACCATCCAGCCTAGGTGTGTGGTAGGCTATACCATCTAGGTTTGTGTAAGTGCACTCTCTGATGCTTGCATAACAAAATCACCTAAGGACACATTTCTCGGAACACATCCTCATTGTTAGGTGACAAAAGACTGTATACATATGTATTATTGTTTTTATTTTTGTAGAACAATTTGAAAGTAAGTTGTACATGTCAATAATTTGATCGTGTTCCCATCCTTAAATATTTCAGCTTGTATACTAAGAACAAGAACACTGTCCTTTACAACACCACCATTATCATATCCAAGGAATTTAACCTCCACACGATATTATTTTGTACGTAATCCACATTCTCACTTGATCAGTCGTCTCCATGATATCCTTTATAGTTGTCTCCTCCCCAGTCCGTGACAGCTGCTGTATATCTTTGAGCCCTCCCTCCTTTTTGTCTTTTAAGACACTGATATTTTTGATGAGTCCAGCCCAGTCATTTTGTATAATGTCCCACAATCTGCGTTTGTCTGACTATTTCCTCATGATTTGATTCAGATTAACATTTTGCAAGAATACTTACAAAGGAAAATCAAAACACATTTGGTAGCTCTCAACAATCTGGCCAGGAAGGCTTCTGCTCGGTATACCAACCCACACTCACCTGGCACCTGGGGTTTACAGGGACTTTCTCACTGTAATGCCCGGAATAACCCAGAGAGAAGATGGGACGATTATTATAGTCTTCTCTGTAAATTGTAAAATCTGAGGCTCAGAGAAGATAAATGAAACATTCAAAATCACCCCAAGCCAGACCTCAAATCTACACCACTTCCTTTGGTACCTTTGGCTGATGCAGAATAAATACGTTCTTAATGTCCATATTGATTTCTGCATACAGCTGGTACCTGAGCATAGGCCGTAGCCATCGTGTTGGGCCTACAGATGGAAAGAACCAATTTCTTAATGGCACTGTTTATATTTTTTCAGTGTTGCCGTAAGAATCAAACTGAAATAAACACTTCTATCACATCCATAATCAGAAGACAGGCTCATGAGTTAACTGAAAGTCCGTGGAAGTCTGGAGGCTAGAAAAGATGGGGTTGGAGCCCTTGCTGTGTCACATGCAAACACAGCTGAGGAGCATGTCCAGGTAGCCGAAATTCAAATAATCTAACACCAAGGGGGAGAGAGAGTTCTTCTCTATGACGAATGCTAACTAATTAATACAGAAGGGATGCTAGAGTTAGAAAATCATCAGTTTGCGGCCACGACTGTAATAATTGATTCAGGCAAGAATTATCAACGGAAATTAAAACCATCAAGTAAAGTTGGATGGAGAATAGGATAATCACAGTCTCTATGTAACACTACCACCAGGTTGCTTGTTAATAAAGAAGGGGAGAAAATCTTTAGGTTTACATAAGATAAATCTATAAATTTATCTTTACAGTAGAGAAACCCAGCAAACACGTTACCCAAATGATCAAAGTTTAATATCACCAACATAAGACAACTGACATCAAGTGTCTCCTGATGTGACGTACCGAGGAGGACGCAATGCCATTTCTGTGGGATTCTTGTCAAATATGCATAACCGGAATATAAGCATGATGAAACACACCAACCCAAGTTGAAGAACATTGTACAAAACAAGTGAGCTCTACTCTTCAAAACTGCTCACGCCTTAAAGATAAAAAAAAAGTTGAAAAACCATTCCTGTTTAAAGTAGGCAAAAGAGATGTGAAAATTAAAAGTAACGTATGATCCTGCTTAGGGAAATAATATCCCCCCTAAAAAATCACAGCTCACAACGAAATTATTGTGGCGATTGGTAAAATTTGAATAGACTGTACACTAGTTAATAGTACTTTATCAATATTCCACTTCTTGAATTATACTCACAGTTGGAAGAGAATAATCTTGTCCGTAGGAGATACAGAAACGTAACAGGAGCAAAGGGTCATGATGTCTGTACTGACTCAAACAGCTCAGTGATAAGAATAGTAGAAAGTGTATTTATTATACCATTAGAGAGAGAGAAACTAGGAAAATGTTAACAACTGGTGAGTCCAGGAGAAAAAAAGCACACAGGAGTTCATCTTACTACTCATGAAACTTTTCTAAGATTTGACTTCTTCAACATAAAATTTTAAAAATTAAAATCAACACATACTCTGATATATGAAATATCCTCTTTTAAATAACAAGTGTCCCTTGTATCTTGCTTTCTTGTCCAAACAATTTCCAGTCACACCACCCGTAACGGCTCGACTATTAGAACTGAATATTAATTGATCTTAAAAATTTTAATGTGTACTTGTTTGAGTTTTGAAAACTTAAGACTTGCAACCAGACAGGCCTAACTAAAGACTAATTTGTTCATTCACAAGCGTGTCTTGAGTTCCTGCTCTGTGAGAATTATAAGGGAAAACCCCTCCTGGAACTCTGTAATGCAATGTTCTTCTGAGGAACTGTGATTCTTTATTATACATTGTTCTTTTTTTTTTTTTTGAGGAAGATGAGACCTGAGCTACCATCCGCTGCCAATCCTTCTCTTTTTTTCTGAGAAAGACTGGCCCTGAGCTAACATCCGTGCCCATCTTCCTCTACTTTATCTGTGGGACACCTGCCACAGCATGGTTTGCCAAGCGGTGCCATGTCCACACCCGGGATCCGAACTGGTGAACCCTGGGCTGCCGAAGCAGAACGTGCACACTTAACCGCTGTGCCACGGAGCCGGCCCCAACACACATTGTTCTTAAAGTCTAAACTTATCCTCATTTTCTCTCCTGGTTGTCAGGATGCATGTGCTATTTAAATCAGTTTCTCTCCATTATTATATAATGAAACACAACATATGTGAACATTTTACTATTGCGCTTTGACAAAGTGATAATAACATTCATAAAATATGTAAACTACACACCATTTGTGAAATGTGGAAAGAAAATAGATGGTAGATTCTTTATAAATTATGTCCATTGAAAATGACCCTCAGCAAAGAGGAAAGAGGGTTTTGATGGAGGATGCAGAGAAACCTGATGGTTTAGCAAGGTTTTGTGTGAGAAATATGCAGAAGGGGTAACTCTGGCCTGACAATGGCACTTTGAATTTAGTGAGAACACATTTTTAAAGGGATTTAATTAACAGGCCATTAACAGACAAAAGCACTACAGTGTTAGAAAGAATCACATACACTGAAATGAACACTCTGGTTGAAGTTGCTGATGAAGTGGGGTCCAAAAGACGTGTGTGGAAACTACAGGACGGAGAATCTGAGCATCTCTGGACCCCTGTGAGTGAGAAGATTATAGATGAAGTGATGATTTAGGATGAATTCAACTAATATTTAGTGAGTTCTTGTGATGCAAGGGAGAGTTAACAACCTCTGAATTAAGTAGCAGGGGGAACAGAGGAGCGACAAAATACCTTGCCACTCTGGATGCTGCCTGAATTCTGCCTGGGGTGTGTCAGGGAGTCAACAAAGAAACAACTCTGGGTTTGAAGGGCATCGATTTAAAATGGAAACGAACATAGTAACTTAGATCACTGTTTCATTATCATATGGTTTCATTATCTGTTGTATTTGATTGATACACAGCTTTGCTTTTGTTTATGGAATTATAAATATCCTATCGCTGACTTGCATTTATTTCAAGTAAATAAGTCTTTAAATATACATCGCCTGAGGGTCTGGTTCACACACAGCAGGCTGCTCTCAATCATCTGACTCCCACTCAACCACCATAAGATCTTGGCAGCTGAGTCTTTATGAAATGTTCATATTCTTAGCTTGGGTTTCAAAAGGCTTCAGATGATAGCAGGATACTGAGGATGCTAGAGACTAGAAAGGGTGTTTCTCATGTAATCATTGGAGGGGTAAGTGGAGGGATGGACTGAAGCAACTCTCCCTTTTTCTGAATCTTTAAGGGAAGTGCATTGAACAGGCACGAATGAAAACCGGGGCTGTAGTTTTCTGGTCTTTACAATGAATTCAGATTCGGTCACTTTCATTTGACCCTTGACCAATTAATTACTTGTCAGTAGAGGTGTAATCAGGCTAGATGAAATGACAAACCACTTGACTCAAAAAAATAAAGTTTAACCCAACCAAGCGATAACTGTTATCATTTAACTCAACAAAATACACTTGCTTTCAATATCTACAACTTATTTCATGGTGCATATGAGTTCCACCTAATTAAACTTTTAGTTCCTCAGCTTTCCTGAATCCCCCAAAATACCACCCACAGTACCTTGCACAGAAGGGATCAAAAATGACTAATTAATATTATCCCACAAAACGTAACCAGCTTATCTCACCAAACACTTAAACTTATCTCAGTGTTCCTATTACACTAACTAATCAACAGCCTGTTAACATTCCATGTGAGTTAAATATGGTATTTAAAAATAATGTCATGTGATTGCACGTAAAATGCGAAGCTCTTATAAACTGACAAGAGAAAAATCTCATTCTAATGAAACGGATCTCAAAAACTTTTTAATTTCATTTAATGGCGCCCCACAGTGAAAGGTACTTCCAGTTTCATATCAAGTATACAGTTTTGATTAATTCTGCTAAGCACCTGACTCAGCACTTTCTCCTTTTCAGCTCTCCATCCCTTTTTGGCCTTGAGGAGCTAGTTATTTTACTCTTCAGTCCTTTTATCAATATGGTCTGTCACCCTCCTCCCTTATCTCAATTCCCCCAAACATGCAACTTCTAAAAATAAAATCAGCCTATATTAGAATACATACAAATATAGCTAGTCGTCAAAAGAAAAAATGCTTTTGCTCTAGAAACTGATGTCGATGTGAGTTAAACATGATAAAGACACCTGTTCTAGAGAAATCTGCATATATTAATAGACTCTGATGTAGCTTGGTCATCAAAGAATCACTATGTTATAATCTGCTAAGACAGAGAAACCGATTCATCCTAGAGTATTATTTAGAAACTTTATTTCTAAAGCTGGATTCTACCTGTCGTTCAATAGCAGTATTCTTGAAAGTCATCAATTCCCATTCAAATGGAAAATACAGTCATTTCATAAATAAAACGCATCCTATAAATGCAGCTCAAATAACATCTCTAGGATTATTATTTTACAAACTTCTTACTCGAAGCCACTCCCTTGCATTAGCGCCACAATCAATAACAATAAACATTGCTCAAAGCTGAATAATACCTTTACTCATTTTAACAAGCTTTTAGTCTCCAATGTACATACCAACAGTGTGGATAGGCTTCCTATAAGGCACTATGCCAAAACTGTACTGAAAAATCCCTCTGGCGTGGAACAATGGTAGAGCAAACCCCATGATCTTCTGTAGTTTCTCCTGCACAGTTCGAAGCCATGAGCCTTCAGGGTTGCTAACTTGCTTAAATAGTTCATTTTCACCAAAAGAAAACACAGGGACTAAAGAGGCACTGCAAATAACCAAGGGGAAGAATAAGAAGTTTTAATGAAAAGGACTGAAATACCTTATCCTGTCCAGCTGACTTGTGTAACAGATTCCTAACAATTCTTTAATATTCTAGTCTCCCTATACCCCGCTACCTTTCTGCTCCGTCCATTGAAACTGACTCACACTTGACATCTTCGGGAGAGGTCCTTAGCAGCCTAGGAATTTGTGGAATTCTATTCTACAGAAAATGAAGGCTCCAGGGAGCTTCTTTTTCACCTACAGTTTTGGCCATAGTTCATTCATTCATTTGGCTGGAAGTTTACACTGTGCCTATAAAATTTTGTACGTCTTTTTGTTTGCTTTGCTTTGCTTATAAAGATATAGTTTACTTGCTGGAAGCTAGGGCACTGAGCTGCCTCAGTGGGAGGGTCATATTCCATTCTCCGTGAACATCTGCTTCTGCTTTTTGGTAAGGTTGATTAGGGAGAGGTCTATGTTCGAGGGCTAGAAAAATTACTTTACTTCTTCGTGTTCATTGAATAATGACTTAACTTTTCAGACCCAGTTACCTGAAATGAGAAGCCACTTACCCATGGGTCAAAGCCAGCTTAACAAATCCTTTCCGCTGGCGGATGAACAGAGTGAATTTTCCAGGATGAGCATCCAGCGATTCTTTGGCGCCCCCAAGGATAATCACTGAAATGTTCCCACCTCCCTCCTTGCTCAGCACGTGGGACACACTTCTCTTAGAAACTGAGACTGCCCCTTCGTGAATAAAACAAAAGGTGTAACTAATTATCCTTTTTAAAAAATTAAAACATTTTTATAATATTCTACGGCATCCGTGAACATTTAACAAAATTTCCTACATTGCTTACATTTGGAGCACCTTGCAGGTTTCAAATTTCGTCATAGCCAAATCTTTGGCAATGTATTCCATTAATAAGATCTGACATTTTGGCAGGTGATGGGTTAGATCTTTAAAATGTCACTTGATCCTTACCAGGTCTGCCACTTGTCTGGGTAGGTTGTATACTGCTCAACTCTACAGACTTCATTTATAGTGCATCCTAAGTAAAAGATGCCCCTGGAGTTGTTCAGTGCACAACCTGCATAGCTGTTCATGGTGGCCTTAATCATTATCCTGGTAAATCCTTGCTCAAAACTACAAAGTATATCCTCTAGGAGGTTGCACTGGATCTTCTGAACCCAAAACGGCCTGTTTTCAAATATTCTATATGGCTTCTTGCTTCCCAAATGTGGATTTATAATGTAAATGGTTTAAAAAATTCAGACATTTGAGAAACAACCTGGGATCACTTGCCAGATCTCTACGTGGTTCCAAAATGTCTAGTCTGATTTTGGTAAATTGTTTCTTAAAATAGTTACATAATTGTTCAGTCTTTGTAAAAGGCTTTTGCACATGAAAATAACTGTAAAGACTCCTTTTCAGGTTTTAAATACCTATCTACTCTTGGAGGGACATACTAGGAACTCTTGGAGGAAATGAAAACACACACCCCCTCACGACGCATATTTCAGAGACAATCGCTTTTAAATGTCTTACTGTTTCCTTCCATTCTTGGTTTGATCTATTTTTTCAGTCATAAAAGAATGTGCTAGAAAGGCCTTAAAAAGTCACAGCATACCTCATCTCTTAAAGGAAAATTATATGCTCATTTTACTGTGGGTTCCTATTACCAGGGGAATATAAAATTGAGACAGGATGCTGAATGACCACCCACTCTCTTAAGAGAAGAGGTAGAGGGCAGTGGGGAAGAGGACAGACAACCTGAGCCTTGATGGGTCTCAACTTCCACTGAGTTCAAGGTGTAGCCGTTCCCCTCTGCGTGCCCTGAGTGAGGCCTGGCGCCATTACTTCCACTGGAAAGAGGGCCTCTTGGATTTCCAGACCCCTGCCTCTCCTCTGGCCACGTTCCAGCTTCCTCTCTAGGCTCCCTTTCTTCAGGCCATCCTTAAGTGCTGCTGTGACGTAAGGTTCTGATAAGAAATGCATGTTTGTATCCTCCAAAATTCACATGTTGAAACTCTAACCCCCAGTAGGATGGTATTAGGGAGTAGAGCCTTTGGGAGGTAATTAGGTCTTGAGAATGAAGCCCCCAAGATGGGACTAGCATTCTTAGAAGAAGAGAAAGAGAGCTAGGGTTCTCTCTCTCTCCAGCATGTGAAGGTACAACAAGAAGATGGCCGTCTGCAAACCAAGAAGTTGGCCATCACCAGACACCAGCTCCGCCAGTGCCCTGATCTTGGACTTCTAGCCTCCAGAACTGCGAGAAATAAATTTCTTTTGTTTAAGCAACCCAGTCTACGGTATTCTGTTAGAGCAGCCCGAACTGACTAACACAGGCTCCTTCATTGACTCTAATATCGTCTAATCTTATCTACACACTTGGACTCAACTACCTCTTAGGTGTGCTGAGTTCTCCCAAATCCATCTCCTGGGAGATCTTCCTCCTGAGGCTCTGGGCCTACATCTTCAATCGCCCAATGAACATCTCTACCTCAACAGCTCCAAGACACCTCAAACTCCATACTTCCAAATCCAATGCATTACCTTCTTCCTCAAAGTTGTTCCTCTTCCAACATCACCTACCAAGGTGAATGGGACCATCAGCTATCCAGTCACTCAAGACAGAAGCCAAGTCTCATTTGCATTCCCCTCTCCTTAGCCACCACGTTGACTCATCACTCACTTGTTTCTTCAAAAGCACTTATTGAGAACCTGCTACAGGCAAGATGCTGTGCTAGACTCTGACGATATGATGATAATACACAGTGGCTGCCTTCATGAGGCTGAATCAATCACTAAGTCTTGTTGACTCTATCAACTACGTTTCATATCAATCCCCTCTTCAGTATTTCCACCATCAGTCACTGTGCTAGTCTGGCCCTTATCCCTCTCGCTTGATCACTGCAATAGGTCCCTTCCAGCATCACAGTCTTCAGGCTCACCTCACTCCAACCTATTTCTAAACTGCTGCCTGAATGATCTTTCTAACACACAAAATCCATTCAGGTTCCTCCTCACTGCCTCACAAGTACCCCATGGCTTACCTATGAGATAAAAAGTAAAGTATATATCAGGCTATTATGATCTGATCTCTGCTATGCACATGGCCTTAATGGGTGGACAGAAGGGAGCATGAGCCTTGAAACAGAGTCTGCTCAGTATAGATTCACCAAAATGGGCCAAGAGGAATGGTTTGGAGTTGGGACTTATGGCCACAGAAATCTAGCAGGTGAGAGCAAAGCAGACACCTGTCAGCAAAGGTGAAACCCTATTGGGTCCTTACTACATGAGGTCTGAGCACATGTCTGGCTGTCTTTCATACCCAGAGAGGCAGCCACCATGCAGTCACAGAGTAGAAGGGCAGCCTTGGGCCAGGGGCTGTCCTAGGAAGCTGGTTCTGGAAGGATTGAGAACTCTCTAAACTTAAGAGACAAGGATAGCTCAAACCTCCACTGGCTATAAGTTTGGATATTTATATTTAGTTTTTAGGAAAAGATCTCATGATGTCATTACCAGTGATGGCAGACAGGTTTCAACTTAAATGCCAACTCTAGTAAATGGCAGTGGCTGTGGGGGTACCATAGGGAGAAAGACTCTAAGGTTGATTATCTATCTCTGACATAGCCATGGAGATGGGTGTACCTACATCTCTTGTGCCATGAATTTGCCACATCTGCTCTCAATTACACTATTCAAATTCACCTGTGGCTACACTTTGATCAGCAAACAGTATACTGTAAATATATTTCTATGAGGTTTTTTTTTTTTTTGTCTCCCTTTAATTTTCTTCCTTTTATAAAACTCTAACCCAATGTCTGCAAAACAAGGAAGGGAAGGATTCTTCTCCTCTTTGGTAGTTCCCCAAACTTCTCTTCTTCTCTTAGTGGGCCCCCTAGAGGCCACATGCAGTGACAGCCCAGACTGGACGAAGCACCCAGGGCTTTCTGGGTAAAGGTTCATAAACAGAACCCGAAAACCCAGCCACAGATGCTGGTCTTTTGATGTTTAGTGATTTCCTACCAGGTATATGATGACAACCGAGGCTTGAGAAATTAACAGGCAGTAATGAAAACCTGGAAGACCACAGAGAACTCTATTTCTGTATATGCCACTTACTGATTGTGAAATTAGAATTTTTCAGAAAGAGACAATCTACTTTTCTTTATCTCCAAGAATGCAAAGACAACAACAATTAACCTACACAACGATCATAAACATAAGGCACTTTATAAGTTATTATAGTTCATGGTTAGTCACTAAGTTGGTCAAGCTGGAAAACCAAACAAATTGAGCCTCTTAAGTTGAAGTGAGAGCTATTAACACAAGCTTCTGTACACATTCATATGGTATCTTTACAGCATTTCAGCTGAATTTCATTCTCAGAATTGGTAGAATTATGGGTTCACTAACCAAAGAGTCTCCCACCAGTTCAGAGTAGCAGAGTAGAATAGAGTCTTATTTCTCAGCCAAGTTATGTTTCATCAAGGAAGAAAAAGATAGCAGATCGAGTATGATTAGTTTATATGCTGCCATTACTTTAAGACACATTGGAGGACATTTTCCATCTCTAATATTCATAAACGCATGCAAAACACCTCTCCAGAGGTGCAATTTATACTCATTTGATCCATGATTCTCTCTTCCACTTCTGGATACAGAAAATACATTCACCGATTCACTCTTTCATTAAATGCACAACTATCGAACATTCCTGTATTCCAGGGACTACGCTAGACACTTAGAGTGGAACAGAAAAAAAGACACAGTGTGAGCCTTCCGGGAACTTAGGGTGCAAAAGAGCAGATGGAGTGGAGTAACAGATGGGGATAAAGACAAAAGGTTTTACTCTAAGAAACTGTAAATCCCACTGGGTTTGGGAGGGAACATTCTGTGTGGTCCTGCCACCCTAGAACGTTGTAGAAATAGTGATCTGCCTTCACTTACCAAAGCTCAGCACATATTCTCGGAAGAAAGGACACCAGAACCAAAACGGGAGCAAGTGAACATATGCAGTACAGCCGGGAAACAGCTCCTTGAAGTCTGAATAATTGGTACAAAAGTTTCCAAAGGCTCCAGCAACAAGCACTCCATGGGGGTGAAACCCGAATATGTAGTTGTGACTTGGATTCAAATCCCAAGTTTTGAGGACCTACAGCACATTTATATTGAGATACAGAAGAAAATGTTCCCTCATCAGTTTCCAATAAGAAACCAAAGGACCCGCGATTAGTTCTTATATCAAGAGGAAATGGAGAATATGATTTGTCTTAGTTCCCTGTGTTAGAACTGTTCCCAAATTATTTCCTGAGTCCAGGAAATAGCTTTCACATAGCCTTCTAAATTATGTCAATTTAGCTTAGAGTCCATTGAGTAACGTGGGCTGAATTGCAGGCTTTCTCCCTCTAAAAAGGGAAAAGTTTGAACTATATGTGATGAAAAATTTTCATTCATCTAAAACTCAAAATAATACTATATAAAACAATTCTACTCACGTGAATCGGAAAATAGTCCTTAAAGTACCTCCAAACGGTCCAGTTTCTGACCCAGTTGGATCTCCTGCCTCCTTGCTCTGGGGTACGCCGGTCAAAGTACAACCACGTCAAATAAGGAATGTAGAGGAACCAATAGTTACGTATGATCAGTATCACGAAGATTCCAGTGCACACCTGTGCTGTAAGAAAGGGAAGAACCTCAGGAATCAGGGTCAGTTAGCACCTGCTCGTGTGCTGCACGATCACTGACCCATGGTAGGGAGATTTAATCCATATAAAGTGTGTTAAACTGACCCTCAGTTCAAGCGAGCTGATAGAACAAGCGACGGTATAGGATTATTTAACATTTATTGGATGTTTACCATATGCCAAGCATTGTACTGTGTACTCTACCAAAATATTTTTATTTAATCCTCATGCAAAGCAGACACAGTCCTTTTAATATCCTTTTTATACAACAGACAATGGAGGCTCAGAGAGATTAAGTGAATTGCCCAAGCCACACAGAATGGAAATGGTTTATCTGTCTAAATTCAAAGTCCACTCTTAGCCACAGCCCTCCCTGACGTGACACATGGAGGGACCAGCCCTGACAGGAGGGATGCAGAGGAATTCCTACCACAGGTATTCCCCTTGACTGAGCAGCCCACATAGAAAGTGCATCCCAGTGACAAACTTCATTTTCAGGAACTCTATTGCCAGACATAGAAATGGCACAGGAGCGACCTTCAACATCTCAGCTCACGTCACTTCCTGCAACATTTCATAACGACAGAGCAATCCTGATTGTTCATGCACCTCGTGAAATACCTTCAAACTATATGACGCAAGAACTGATAAAACTTGACCTGGGGACTAGTGACCAGAATGTTTGTCTTAAGGCAATACATTAAGATAAGCTAGATATTTTCTTTTCATATCTGTGCTATGTATTATAGTAAAAAATACCTATAAAAGGAGAACTACAACCAAGGGGGGAGCATGAAGACATAAAGCCTGGCACACAGTAGTGTTCAATAAGTGCCAGCTATTACTATCACTTTACAGAGCGCCCCTGCCCCTTTCTCTTCCACTCTGGGCTGCGACCTCTAATCCAGTGCTGACTTCAACCTCCAAAACTCCTACCCACTCCCTATCCACCTCGTGAAAAAGAGCTTTGTCCACAAATGATCCGTCATGATACCTGAGCAATAGCACCTGGATCTATCATTGTTTTATAGATATATATATACTTTTGCCAAAAATAGAACACGTATTTATATTTCTGGAAATACATAACTCGATGTGTTTCCCAGTATAGATTTAACCCCAGTATAGAACTGAACAGCATCAGAGGACTGACTTGCTCTCTCCAGAGTGGGTTAAAGGTTAAAGAGTGCATGAAAGGTTAAGGAAGCATGGGCTCTCCACCCCGCTCTGGGGTTTTGTTGCATTCTAGAACTGCCAACAAAGTTCCCAGGAGTCCAAAAGACTGTCCTCTGCCCTTGTTCCTACCAGGATCATTCTCTTTCGCTTCATCCGCTTCCTTCTACCCAGGTCTGAGTGCTGACAATTTACCAGTGTTAGTTAATTTTCTGTTTATTTCACTAAAATGTGCAAAGAAATTTACAAGAAACTTAGGTAGGTCTCCTTATTCTCTGCTCCAAGCTAGATCAGGTAAGCCATGATGGAGCAGGAAAGGGAGAGAATAGGTACTGAGCAGTGACCATCTTCCATAGCCAATCTCTTTTACTCCTCACAACCCTCAAGGTACACATGACTGTCCCCATTTTCCATCTTGGAAGAAATATAGGAGATAGAGGAACAAGTTAATACCACAAAGAAGCAATCAGATAAATCCAGAAGGTGAGGCATCTTGCAGGACAGAGAACGTGCTTCTTCAAGGCTTTGTAGACAAGAAAACAAATGGGGGACACTGTTCTGAATTAAAAGACACATAAAAACTAAATGTTCCTCGAGGGTCTTGTTTGGATCCCGGTTCCAAGAAACCAACAATAAAAGTCTACTTTTGCCATAATTTAGGAAATCTGAGAATGAACTGGTTTAGGTGTTTTTAAGCACTATTGTTAATTATGCTACATGTGACAATGGTAGTATGATTATGTAAAAAATACTTAATGTACACATGCATACTAAAGAATTCAGGATTAAAATATCATAATGTGATTTGTTTTAAAATACTTTTACAAAATAACAGATAAAACTAATATGGCAAATTGTTTATTATAAAGCCAGGTAATGAGTATATGGGAGTTCATATCCTTCTCTCTAATTTCCATATGTTTAAAATTTTTCATAATAAAATTTCCAAAATACATAATATAAAACAATATGCTCATGTAACACAAATGTCAAATGCACGCAATATAAGCATTTAAATGAATTGCCTGTCGAGCCACTGTAGTTTGATTCAAATTAGGAATCAAGGGTCATGGCCAAGTCACTAGTCCACTCTCACACTGGACACCCTTGGCTCCACCACTGCCTTTGAGCCATGTGACCTTGAGCAATCTACGTCACCTCTGACTTCTCTCATCTGCAAAATGAGTTCAGGGGTAGCCCCTACCTCACAGGGCTAATATGAGTAGAGACACGTGGGGTAGCTGGCTTTCCTTCTGGGGGACCCAGTGGAGGCTGTCATTCAATCCATACCTTCCATGGACCACGCACATGCTGGGTGCTCCCTCACCAAGCTTGTGTGCTAGGAATGCAATGCAGATCTTTCTCGACTAACCCCTGACATACATGAATACAAGCAATGACAAGCGCCATGTAAACAAAAAGGACAGTGGGCCATCAGAGGTGTGCCGATTGATCAGCAAGGTCAGGGTCCAAGTTCAAGCCACTAACGCGGGCAGCACAGTGGTTAAAACAGGGACTCTTGGGTAGAATTCCTGGGCTTACATCCAGCTCCTCTACCTCCTACTAGCCGTGTGACCTTGAAGAATTTACTTCATCTCGTGGGTCCCTCATCTGTCCACTGGGTGCAGGAATGAACAATCCTGACCTCACAGGGTGGTTGTGAAGATTACAAGGTTATTAGCGTCTGGTGCTTAGAAGAGTACCTGGCACACAGTCCCCCACAAGTGTATCTGTTATGATCTCGATGGCCCTTTGGTCCAGAGCAAAAGGCAGTGTAACGTCATCAACCCTGTCTCACAGTTCGGTCTGTGAGCACTTAATGAGTTAACGTTTCAAATTTCCCTTTTCAGGAAACCCCAGCTGCACAGTAGAGTCGCTGGGAGCCTCTGTTTAGAAAATCAATCAATCAATAATCCTGATGCAGGGCTCAGTTTTGTAACAAATGAAATAGAAATTCTAGAGACAGAGCCTGGGCATCAGATTTTTTAGGAGCTCCTCCAGTGATTCTATCTAATGTGCAGCCAACGTTGAGAACCACTGATCTAGGCATTCGAAATCTAAAACCGGGGGCCAGCTGAGTGATTAAGTTCGTGTGCTCTGATTTGGTGGCCTGGGTTTGGCCAGTTCGGATCTTGGGTGCAGACCTACACATTGCTCATCAAGCCATGCTGTGGTAGCATCCCACATAGAAGAATTAGAATGACTTACAACTAGGATATACAACTGTGTACTGGGGCTTTCGGGAGGAAAAAAAAGAAAGAGGCAGATTAGCAACAGATGTTGGCTTACTACCAATCTTCCTCACCAAAAAAGCAAAAAAAAGCATACCTTAAAAGAAAAAGTAAAACCATTTCAAAAGTGCCAACGTCTAAAGTGCAATGAGTTTATTACTGTTATTATTATTGCAGCCTCATCAGTGCACAACCCATGATCTTACAGCACACAGATGATTTTAGCCTTCAGAGGAGTTTAAGTTCCCACTAATTTCTCTCTCCTCTCATACCATCCTCCATTTACTCCAAGAGCAGAACAAACATCCAGAAGAAAAAAAAAGCGCTCAGGCAAGCCCCCAGGCCCACCTAGTGACCGCCTCAGGTACGTTTCTCCACGGTCTTAATTTGGGAACCCGCCAGAACACACCCTTGGTTCGAATTATTTAGACAGAGGCCACTCAACCCAACGTTTGGTGCAGTCTTCTGTGCTGCAAGGTACCTTTCTGGCTCTGCAAGACCTTCAACCTGGAAAAGCTAACAGCTGCGTGTCATGAGGGTGGGGAGAGGAAGGAATCAGCTTTTAAATGCTTGGGAATTGTTTTTCCATTTATGAGTTGCCAATTCAAGAAACGAGTTTCCCACATTTTGAGGGGGATAAAGTGCAAAGTTCTCCAGCTCGATGGGGTGGTGGTTACATTTGCCAAAACTTACAATCTGTGCCTTTTATTGTAGGGAGGGTACACCTCAATTAAAAAAAAATAGCACAGGGGAAAATAAAGTTGGCAAATTGTCGTTGGCTACGAGGTTCATGTAGGGAGAGCAGCCAAAGAGGAGAGTGCCAAGAACGCTCTCTTGGACCTGCCAGCTCTGGCTTACAAGGGAAGAAGGGCTGGAGGCTCTAAGCGCGTCCTTGGACAAGGACTATCCGGGAGCAGGGAGAAGGAGCCCCCTGCCCCGTGCTGTTCTGCCTGGATCTTGCTCAGCCAGGGGCGCGCGAGGTCCTTACCGAGCAGCAGGAAGGTGAGCACCCACTGCAGCACCGCCGCCGTCTGCAGCCGCCGCGCCAGCGGGATGTTGAGCGGCGCGAATTCGATCTTCATGTCTCCGTTCGGGCGAGGATCGCGCCGACCTGGGGCCGCCTGGAACCTCGCTGCGCCGCAACGCCGGCTACGGGGACCAGGAGGAGGTGGCGGCCCGGGAGTGGGCGGGGACTGAAGTACGCCTTGGGTGGGAGGGCCCGCCCGGGCGGAGGTTGGGGCTGCCAATCACGCGCGCCTGGTCCCGAGCGCCTGGGGCGCGTTCGCTGGCGAGAGCGCGCCGCGTTGGGCACAAGGGACAGCGAGAGGGGTCAGCTGGTGGCTCAGCAGCGTGGGCTCCTGCCGCCCTGCCCAGGACCTGGGGTCTCCACTGGGATCTGACCCTTCTTTAGCGGATCGATCATCGTGCGTGCGCTCGGCTTCAGCATCCGCCCTTAAACCCACCCCTTCTTCCGAACTCTCTGCAGCTGGGGAAGGGTTAGTCCCAGGAATCGCCTGGAGGGAGGCGCGGGACTCAGCTTCTCTGGGAGCAGGGTACTCATCGGCTCGTTGGTCTGTGCCCGCCACACCACCCCCAAAATCTGGGGCGGGGGAGATTGACCTCCTCACTCTTGTGTCCTCACATCCCTACACGTGTCCCGGGAACCTTTCATTTATTCATTCATTCAACAGACGTTTATTGAGTACCTGCCACGTGCCGGAAACCCAGCCTGGGCACAGGGAATACGGTCAGTGATCAAGTCCTTCATGGATTCTGCTCTCAGAGAGTATAAATGATGGGGCGGGGGAGACAGACATAAGCAAAATAAGCACACGGTTGTGTGTATAATTGCAAAGTGAAACCTTACTATGAATGACTGGGAGAAGGTTCTAGGACTTAAACTGTAGGGTCAAGGAAGTCTCGGAAGAAGAGCCCTTGACCTGAGCTATAACAATGAATCTGGTTAACTGAGGGAGTCACCCAGGCAAAAGGAAGCACATATACAAAGGTCCTGTGGCTGAAACTCAAATAAGACCAGTATCCTGGCAGGTCAGAACAAGGAGGAGATTGGGGTGAGAGGAGGTGAAAATGGTGGCCAAGGGGCCAGCCTGGTGGCCCAGTGGTTAAGTATGCACGTTCTGCTTCAGTGGCCCAGGGTTGGCCGGTTTGGATCCTGGATGTGCACCTGTGCACTCCTTGGCAAGCCATGCTGTGGTAGGCATCCCACACATACAGCAGAGGAAGATGGGCACTAATGTTAGCTCAGGGCTAGTCTTCCTCAGCAAAAGGAGGAGGATTGGCAGCAGATGTTAGGTCAGGCCTAATCTCCCTCAAAAAAAAAAAATAATAATAATAATAATGGCCAAGGGCCAGATCCTTGCAGGCCATTTAGGGGTTCAAGTTAAGGGTTCAATTTGTGTAGGGTTCAAGTCTTTACCCTAAGACTTGCCACTGAAGGGTTTCAATTATGATGTGTTAAATAGATGGATGGATTCTAAATAGTGCCTAATCCTTGTGAGCACCCATTATATTTTCCCTATAAATATTCCTTGCTGTAGAGTTGAACAACTCTAAGTGGCATGTGGCTGTCAAGTCATTGCTGGAAGGATTTGAAATAGGGAAAAACAACAGAGTGGACTCCCTACCACCTACCGTGCCCCTATTTCCTTCAATGTTTTAATAGAAAGTTGGATAAAAATGAATCCTGAGACTGGGTAGTTTAGGGAGTTATTTGTGACTTTTTCTATGCAAAAATTTGGGGGTTTTTTCCCCTAGTTGAGGAGTCAGTTTCATCTTCCCTTTTAGATTTCTTCCCTGAACTTTGCCTCAGTTCTAGGTGGGAACACTGAATATACACCATGTAAGATATTTTGCAATACCCTTCACAAGCCTGAGGCATCCTACAGCAAACCCGTCAAATAAAATTAGTTCCAGTTTTATGGTTAAGGAAGTCCAGGCTGAAAGTCACACAGCTGGCAGAATAGAGAAGACTCAAATACAGTTTTGTCTAAAACCTAGAGAGGAGAGTCATCCTTTCATCAGTTGAATCTAACGTGGAACACAGATTTATCGACATCTGCTTTGCATCAGGCATTGTCCTTGGTGCTGATGACACAAAAGTGAATTAAGACGTGGTCTCTGAGCCTGTGAGAAGTCACATACATTCATTCACTGACTATTTATGGAAAGGTTTCTGTGTGCTAGGCACTAGGTGGGGAGTGGGGATGGGCTCCAGTAGTGAATGAGAAAAGTCTCTGTCCTCATGGGGCTTACAGTCTAGTGGGAGAAAGGGAAAATAACCACATATGTATACAACCAAGTGTGTGACAGTGCCCAGAAAGAAACACAGGTTCCAGTGACAGAGAATAATGAGCACCTATTTACAACAGATTGGAGGTAGTAAGAGTGGAAGCAGAGAGACCCTAAAGAGGCTACTGGAGGGTGAGAGTAGAGGATGGCAGCTTGGTCTGCTGTGGTAGGGAGGGTGAGAGTACAGGATGGTGGCTTGGTCTACTGTGGTAGCAAAGGAGAATAGAGAGATGGATTTGAGATATGCATGGGAGATGTGAATAGTAGGACGGATTGATTAATTGGATTCACAATCTATTGGTGAATAAGAAGAACAAGACACCCAGAACTCCTACTTCTAATCACTTGGAATTTACTGTACTTAATAATGCTTTTGTCACTTTCCTGGAGTCTTCAGCTGGTAGAAAAGCAGTGTCCTATCCCACCACAGCCCATTGAAGCAAAGCACGCCCTTAGCAGGGCTCAGTCGATGCAACAACCCATCACCATTTTAATTAACCGTTCACTCATTTGTTTGACATTCAACACGTTTATTTGTGTGCACATTGTGCGCCAGGTTATTGGAGTTAAATGATTATTGGACTTAAATGGTGAGAAAGTTTTAATTCATCAAGTTATTCAAAACAACTCCTCTGTTTTGCTGATCCCTAGAACTAAAACTAACAGGAAAACATGAAGCTGAGACATTGTCTTTCCAAACTAGACATTTCATGGAATAGAGAGCTGAGAGTGGAGAACTTAATAGATTTGACAGAGATAACCCAGCCAGTTAGTGGCAAGGAGTAGACTTGGATCGAAAACTAAATAAATTTCTTACACTAAAACAGAGGAGGAGAAGCAATGTGGTATGGTATAATGGTTTCAGACTTTTATTTTAGCATGGAATTTATTTTTAATCTTCGAAGAACTCCAATTTATAAAAGAAATCTAAGTGGAACTGCTCTTGTTGGAAAGGACTGGGGAACCTGATTCCCACCTTCTCAGCATCTTCCTCGTTCCCAAGGTGACCGTATTTTTAGCAAAATGAAATCAACATCAAACAATACACACAGAACCTCTGAGGATTTAGCAAAACCCAGGTTGGAAACCACTGCTTATTTTGCTCTTTTCTTTTCCTTTTTGTTTTTTTGTGGGCAGCCTAATATTTGGAGAAATACAAAGTTTGAATGGGGTTGCAGGTAAAAAACCATATATGGTGTATCAACATTACTGAATTCTTATCGCCTTCCGGGTTCTCTGCTGAGTAGTTTACTTGCCATGTCTGATTTAAACTTCACAATGACTCTCCAGGGTAGGGGCCTTTATTGCTTTCAACAATAAAGACAGTGAGACTAGAGATCAAACTAACTGTTCATCTAGTAAGTAGTAGGACCAGGTTTCCGGTTTTTTGAAAACAAGTTTTTCTGTTCCTAGAGCTTGAGCAAATAACTGCCACAATAAATTGTCTCTTAATACAAAGAAGAAGGAACTGTTGTTGAAACAGGAATAAATCACTGAGCAGAGGGCAGAAGAATGCAGAGGACTAGATTTGTCATATTTGAGTTGGGGTTAATTATCCATTCAATCAATATTTACCAGTCACGTACTATGTGCACGGCATTGGGTATATATGAGTGAATAAAACATAAGTTTTCAATAATTCGACAAAAATGTATCCAGCACCTCTGCTGTGGCAAATCCTAAGGAGGGCATAGTGACATGAAATAACATTATCCTGCTTGAAGATCTGAGATTCCACCAACTGAGGGTGGTTCCTTTTTCTACTTCTCGACCCTAGTTAAGGAATAAGAAGGTGACAGTTCAGATTGCCTCAGAGATTACAACAGCCCACTCTTGGAAATGAGTGATTAGAAATCACTTCCTCGTTTTAGGGTTTTTCCTGTGTGTTTTAACGTAGCTTTCTTCTACTAGCAAGAAGATGACGATGTTTTTCTGTAACACAACATTTTATAGTAACTTAAGTTAAAATGTTCCTGTTGTTAAGTTAAAAAGGAAATAGTATTCTTTCTGGATTGAGAGTCCTTAGCAGGGTCAGTTTGGGGCAAAAGTCACTAAGGCGAAAACCACAAAGGTTTTCATAAGGTGCATTAATCATAAAGATAAGTGTCCTTTCTCATTCACACACACCCATGCCCACACCAACATGGAACCCAAGTCAACAGCGTTACCATAATTCATTGAGAGTGATCAGCTTTGGTTAAATTCACATAGAAGGCCACCATTAGGGTAGTTTCAATGGAATGTCCTTCAAGAAGTGCTATTTTCAAAGCTCTTTTGAACTAAAAGTTCAAGAAATTTGTTCTGGGCCCTCTGTTTTCTTGCTGTCTTCTAAATTAACTATTTTATCAGTATGACAGAGTTCAAATATCCTTGCTCTGGGCCAAGTTGCAGGGATCTCGCCTGAGAGAGTGAGACCTATAGACACCACAATTATGGTCCAAGGTTTCCTTTCCTCCTTGTTTCTTGTTGCTGTGGGCACATACAAGGTCTCAGACCCTATACACCCGTCCTGCTTTCCTTCCTTTCTCATTCTCCTTTGAAAGCTCCATGATATAGGTTCAATGGTTATCTTTCCATTAGGTAATGTTAGTATATTGATGTTTGCTCTCCGAAATAGATACTTCCATTCCTGCTCATTTAAATTATTATAACACTATGAGTGATTAGAAATTATTTTGGTAATCACTAGTATGTTAAATATTCTTTCTCTTCCCTCACCCCTACTTTTGTTTGCACTTGGCCTTGAAACCTACTTGGGGTCCCAGCAACCCAAGCCAGGGAGGAGGAGGAATGAAGAGAAACAGACGAGGAAGGCCTACTGCAACCAACCTGGGTCCAGGGCAGGCTCATCAAGAGGCAGCCAGCAACTCCAACAGCAGTGTCCTTGGAGGCATGGCTCCATCTCTTACTTCCAGCTTCCAAGAGGGTCCAATCCAGTGGATGGGCTTGCACTCATGTTTGTATCTTTCTGATTGTTTATGGCTACTTGGTATATGCCCTGTTGATTCCTCTGGTCTATTATTACTACTTTTTTCCCCAACATGTTCTATTTCTCCAATCCTGGCTGCTATTACCTCTCCCCTGGCTTATTGCAGCCTCCTAACTCATCTTCCCGCCTTGAGTTTTGCCTCCTGAACTACCA